TATACAAGCACTGGGTGGAACCCTAAAGTGCAAACAAATATAAAGATATGTACAACAAAATAAAAAAAGTGCATTAAACAATGAACAGCAAGTCCAAATACACCTTGAAACTATAATTATAAATGAAAAATGACCTTTGCACATAACACGTACTGAAGGGTACAACACCTGATTACACAGAAGAAAGGTGTGCTGTCCAGTGAAGAGAGACCTCTGGGACTTTGAGTTTATTAGCGGATGACAAAAAATGACCCCAAAAAGGAAGGTGGAAAATACGGATTCCATCAGGGGTGAAATTCTAAAAAAAATATAGAGGTACTCGGCTGGGTGAAGTGAACCTGTTTTTGAAAAAGAAAAAAAAATTCAAGTGTAAATATAGAAAACGAAAAAGCAGCTCAAATAAGTCCCAGTACTGGTCTAACCTAAAAAATAAGTTCCGGTAATCAGTATAAGTGAGTACTGGCAGTATTTCACTCTTGGATTCAATACACATCTATCTCAAGATAACACTACTGTGTTTAAAACTGTATTTTTGTCCTAAAGTACCAGTGATTTTGCAAAAGTTTATGATTTTTTATTTGTTTCTTGTAATTTGAATATTTAAAATTATTCTTTGTACACACACACACACACACACACACATATATATATATATACAATATCTAAATAAATATTAAAAATTTTAACCTACTCTAATTGAGAATGATATAGAAAACACAACAGAGGACAACTTCAACCAATAGTGTTTGAAAGTATGAGCTTATCAGCATTTAAGAATAGTCTTGATCTTAAAGAGACCGTAACTCCTACATAATCAGTCTGTAAGTGACTAGTTAAGTCTCCAGATGTTGTACAGACATAGTGTTCAAGTAATCCAGTACAAATATTATGAGATCCTTTAACTCGACCAAATGAAGTTGTTATGTATAACTACACTCTAAGCCTAATTACAGCAGGATTATGATTAATTGGAGATAAATTATGTATATTAATATTCAAAAGTTATAGAACTTCAACAATATGTTCTGTGGGATTGAAAAGATTATTGAATTTGTAATCATTTGAATTTCTAATAAATCACAATGTTTTAGTTCTCAATAATCCTGAGAAAATTCTCAAAAACCTAGTAGAAAAATCCATTACATAGCAATGTCGATTTAAGGGTTTTTTTTCTCCCAAAGAATATAATCTTTTTACTGAAAAAATGTTGCTGTATTTGTAAAATATAAGAGCAAATTCTTCAAATTTTTCTAGTAGAGCACTAAGTCTTCAAAATTATATCTGAATGATAATACATGATATTTATTTACAACAAATGTTTCCTATGTATTACAAAGTTCAACTTAAAATACAACTCCACATATTCGTCTTCTAATTCAACGCCGTTGGCAAAATGTTCAATTTCATTAGCATCCAGATTCTTTCCTTTTTTTTGTCTGCTAGACAAAATAATTACACAATAACACAAAACAAAAATCTGTTTGAAATGTTGTAATTACATGTATTATTACTATCATCTGTTCCAAAACTGGAATATTTAAAAACTAAAACAAGTATCAGTTTTTTGTCACACAACTTTTAACTGAAAATGCAGTGCTGCATTTCAAATGCAAAGTTTAAAAAAAATTCAGTTATAAACATAGCTCTAAAAAATATTTACCTAAATTTTTGATACCAAAATTTGTTCACAGGATCAGAAAAAAAAAAAGAAAAACAAATACGAGAAAAAAAATTTAATTTTCCATAAAAGAAAAACTTGTTACCATACACTGATAGTTTAAATACAGCATCTCGAAACAAATGAGTTGAATCGTTAACACTAAGGTCTATAAGTTGGATAATATCTGCATAATGACATGTTAAATGTCCAGAAACCATTCTTAATGTGTATGTGCACTTCCACAATGAAAGAAAAAAAAAATTTTTTTTTGTCAAGTTGTCATTATTTTTGAGTTTTGAAAGATACTTGCAATGGCTTTCCTGCATAAAGAAAGCCATTTAAGGATTCAATAGCCAAAACAGCATCTTCATAGTTTAACATTGTTACAAAACCATAGCCTTTACTGATACCTGTAGCTGCTTCTCTGATAACATTCACTTTCTGAACAGTGCCATATGTTGAAAACAGTTGCCACAAGGACTTCTCATCTGTTTCTGTACCAATGTTATAAACAAAAAGAATGTACCCTGGTTCACCAATTGTTGTTGAAGCCATACCGTACATCATGGGATTGTAACGATAGCGGTTTTGGAAACCACCTTGTCTCATTGGTCCTCCACCTCCATATGCACCCCGAAATGGAGATGCAAAACGCTGCAACATCATCGTAGGGCCCGTAGCTTGTACCTTTTTGGCATTGTCCTCTGCAAATTTTATGTTTAAAGGCATACTTCCTCCAGGCAGAACTTGGCCATTAAGGTTATTTATTGCTTCCTCTGCTTCTTCTCGAAGATCATACAAAACAAAAGCAATTCCTTTACTTTTCTTTGTGACATCATCTTTCAGGATCCTGCACTGAATAATTTGTCCATATTTACCAAAAATTAGTTCTATATCTTCTTGAGTAGCAGTGGTTGGAATTCCTCGAACATACAAATTAGCATTCTTTATTTCATCACCACTGGGGCGAGCATAAGCAACTTTGATTTTCTTGTTCTGCATCTGAAAACCGTTCAGGGTCTGGATAGCCCTTGCTGCATCCACTGGAGTGTTATAGTCAACAAATCCAAAACCATAACTATAGCCTGTACTTTTGTGGCGAACAATTTTGCAAGTTTTGATCGATCCTATAGTCTGAAAAAGACTGCGAAACTCATCGTCTGTCAATGTTTGTGGTAGATAGTTAATAATGAGATTGGTTCTTGTTTCCTGGTTATCTCCTTCCATGGTTGATTTCTTTCGAGTGAGTAAAACTCCACAAAGTTGATTCTCCCTCGGAGACACACTTGTAGAGGAAAAAATAAAAAAAATAAAAAAAACATAAAGATGCCTTACTTGCTGTAAAAGAGTCAAAGAAAAAATGTTTTAATAATATAAGCAATGAGTGGAGGTCAAACAAGTCATTACATAAAACAATGGTTTACAACCAACAACTGAAACATTAAGTATGACAAAAACTGAATGTTATCAAATATTTGTTAAGTGGGTAAGTTATTTTATACACTAAAATTTTATCAATAACAAATGGTTTAATTGAATATTGATGGTTTCTTGCTTTTAGAACCAATATTTACTTACTTAATATTACATCAAAAACTTTTGTGATGGTTAATCAGTTACAATATCACCTTTCCCTCCAAACTAAATACTGATACCTTATAAATAAACTATTAATAAACACAATAACTAATACAACAAAAAACAGACTACATATTACAACATGTGATATGTAAAATATCTCATCTATATACACAATTGTATAATTATATGAAGTATACTCTATAATAAATCAACATTGGATTTCTTTATTGATGTCTTCAAATTCAAAAGCATTCTTTCAATATACATATAATGATGAGAAAGTTTTTCAATCTAAAAGCTATGCACTACATGTTCCACGGCTGTTGACGAAGAGGTTCCATCAATGAGCCCCAAAACAGAAGACTGTTTCATACTTTAAAATCTGGAAGAAATTTTGTGTTTATCCTAGTGTCGATTTAAGAGGCAACAACACTTGATTTATTATATATTTAACAACCGTTTCCTTTAGTTATAAGTACAACTGTCGTTTAAAACTCAACAAATATATATATGTGAAACATTAAATAGATGTGAATTTTGTGTTTTACACATTTTTGTAACTAGTGTAAGTTTTACTTTCAGCTCTTTACTAGTTTCTGAAATTGTATGCAAAGATCACTTTTCCACCCTATAAATACTGCACTAAAAAATTACATGTGGTATGTCAAATATCTAATAAAAGTATTTCTGTACTATTGCCACAGAGCAAGCACTGTTCTTTTTAAATTCCATCATTTTTTCATTCATACAACTAGGGATAAATATTATTGCAAGTTGCTTCAAGAACTGGGAATTAAGTAAAAGTGTAAACCAGCTTCAGTAATTATTTCTACCTGGGGATGAATTTGCACCCAATTATAATCCAATTCTATATTATTCAGAACAGGTTGAGCTAGAGAAGCTGTAACTCACAGCATCTTCACTCATTATTATAACCTTTTTCAACCAGAAATCTGTATCATTCCAACTCCATGTATTTTGCATTATAATGTTTTGATTCCTGTTTATATTCAATTATACCACCCGGGGTGAATATGCACCCCATTTCGTTTCAGATCTATGATGTAACCTTTTCTAGGAAAGAAGAAGGTTATAAATCTACATTTCCAGAACATTCTAAAGCAGTGTTTCTTAACCCATGGGTCATGACCCACAATTGGATAATCAGACAATGGGAAGTTATAATTTTTCCTTTACTGAAAATGCATTTCTGACAGGTACTTACCTCCACCCACAGTGCTGCCCTCTACATGTAAAATATTTCTGATGCTACAAGCCTTGAACTCCCACGTACCCTACAATCAATATGGTTTAACTGCATCTCGCATATAAATCATCATGCAGTAGTCCTCCACCATCAGGAGTGCAACACACCCTCCTGATGCATGTGACTCACTATTTGATTCTACTGAACTATCACCTTGATTTTCGAGAGAAAATGGAAGCACCGGTTTTCAGTGGGGAGGAATGGTGGGAAGATATAAGTACCTATAAGAAACGAATTTACAGCATAGGAAAATTCTAACTTCCAATACAGTACATTACCTCTTCTCACATAAATAGCTAGTATCCCACATTGAATAGGTGGAGGGACCAATGTGAGGGGAAAGAAAGAAACATTCTTTGAAAGTGACCAAAGAACCCTCTAAAAAGAGGAAATCCTCACATTAGAGGAACATACTTGGGAGACTGCACCACTTCTGTACCAGGTATACTCTTTGCCCAGTGTGGAAAGAGGTGATGCAGACATGGTCAGAAAATGGGAGGAGCACAACCAAAAGAAAGAGAACAATGGTTGGATAGGGATCTGAATCACCTGATTTTGAATCATAATGTTTTCGATGACCGTAATGTGGATGAGAGGAAAAAGGATGTGCTCCAAGGTGTAGAGTGGCTAGAGCATGATGGACCATACATAGCAAGTCAAATGCATCCAAAACCCACTGGAAACCAATGTCCACGTGGGGGTAGGATGAGGATCATACCATCAGTAACTCAACTACAAACCAAAACCCTGCCACTGGAAACTGATAACCATGTTGGGGTAGGAAAAAAGATCATATCATCTACAAGTCAACTTCAGTCCAAAACCCAGCCATCAGGTGGGTGTAGGAAAGAGGATTGGAACTCAGAGCTGACTTACAATCATGTGGTGGGATGTGTTGAGATTAATTTTTTAAATAAAGCAAGATTTATGTGAAAGGCAGCAGTTTCCAGTTTGCTATTAAAAAATTAAAATGAAGACCAATTTGCATTCAAACGTATAATTATACATGTAAAACACTGGCACATTAGAATTCCTATTGGTCTCATTTTCACTTCTATAGATAAAAAAAAAGAAGATGATACAGTATTCACTTTCACAAATTTTATTTATTGCAAATTTTCTAGAGTTGTTATCATACCAATCACATAAGAAATATACTGTAAACCCATAACTATTTTGATAAATGGTATGAAAAATTATAACGAGCTGTTACATTTTGTATGTTATGTACTATATCAGTCACTTCTTATATTAGTGAATGGACTGATAAATGATTATCATTGAAAATGTATTAGTATATTGTTTTTAATATACAGATTAAACATGAAATTGTAAAGTATTTACTACCTTTTATATGTAATATGTTTATTCTACATCAAATTTTCACAATGCAAGGAAATCCCACTGAAGAATTATTACATTTTAATAAGCACGGATATTTTTCTACAATCTGACTACAAGCCCAGCATATACTGAAATTTTCACTTATGCTAGAAATCGGGTTAAGCACATTATGTTAAAACTATCTTTAATATGTAAGTCAGTAAGTCAAATAATAAAAAAAAGCCAAAAGTTAAGGTGGAATGATGACTATCACAAATACATTTTGACACTGTTTGGCATATCGTAAGTAGCATGATGCCACCAAAAACTGATCTCTTTTGGGAATGGTAAGTATCAGCCCTCTTTGGAGAAAACTGGAAATACACCTAGATCTTAAAAATGTGTTCAGATCAGGGATTTTGAGTTTCAAAGATAGGAATATCTCTCATACTTAATGGCATTGGAAGACAATAGAATCTCACTGCAGGCCTATTGTCAAGATGCATGGTCATAAGAAAGAGTATGACCAAACATGGCGATATGTACAGTAACAATGTGACAAATTTCCAAATTTGGTCTAATCCTATGAAATTCATTTGGGTTAAAAAGGCACATGTCATAATGTTTTACAGAATTACATTCAAAATTTAATGAAAAACTCTATTATAAATGTAACTTGGTATTAAACATAGTTTACAAGCCAAATTTTTATATTATCTAAGTTTCAATTTTTTAATATCAAAAGGAAATATCAAAAAAATCCTCAACTTGTCTGTGCCACATGATGCATCTTTGCTCAGAATTATTCTGTTGTACATCTAACATCTTCCCTAACATGCCTTTCAGTGCCCAACCAATTAGAAACACACACTACATATTAAAACAAGCAAACATATAAAAATTTAACCTCATATCGTTTCAATTTGTTGAGATATCATTAAATTTGTCAAACCCACCAAAGAAGCCCCCTTCCATCACTCCATACCTTTCAAAGCAGCTTACTAAACCATGTGTTCTTATCTGATGGACATGTTATTAACCAACAGAAAAAGCATGTGTTTTGATTTTATTAGATAATTTTATATACTAAAAATCCTTTCATAAAAATTGCTCTATTCCTTAGCATCTCATTCATGCTTTTCACCATTTGTGTGACTTGTTACAATTTAAACACTTTGTAACTGTAACTCACGAAAACAATTATACAACAGGGAGCAACAACAAACAGTTGATCGTAATATATGTCTCAAGTTTTTGTTTTCACTGTGTGATAAATGTATTTTAATTTGTTTTTGTATAACCTTATTTCAACACTCTCTATACTGTAACAACTGACTCGCACATCAGTGTGAAAATAAATAGCTATTATAAAGAGATTAAGTTAAAAATTCCACCCATCTACATTAAGTTAATAATGTATAAATTCCAAAATTTATCTTCATTTTAAAACTGCATGTACCTGGAAGATAATATTTTATACAAATGTGACAGAATAAAATAATTAAGACTTCGAACTAAATTTATCATTGCATTTCTAACTTTAATTTTATAAATTGCTTGCAAACAAAATTAAATTACACAACTGCACTCCATTTATGGAATTGTGAATCAAACCAAAAATTCTGTGGGAAAATGTGCTCACATGCCATATTCAAGTACTGAGGGGACTGATTTTTTTTTCATTTTATAATTATATCCTTAGTATCAATTTAAAAAAACACAACTCATATTCTAGAACTCCTGTGTATCAAATTTTCCTGCATGATATATAATAAAATAAAATCAATAAATTGAGGCATAAAACCTATAAATAACAATATTATCTCATTGTATTATATGACAACTTTTAAAGCTATAAGTATTTTAATCTATAACATATTATTTTCTTATCAACTACACTTGTATGTTTGTAGAGGTCTTTCGTTTTTGTGGATTGAAAGTAAGTCCCCTCCTTAAAAAAAATCCTGATTGTTTTAATAATGTTTAGAGCATGTTAATATTCAATATTATTTATTTGCTCAAAGAAAATGTTGGTTGCTCAATAGCTCACTCTTTTTAACTAAACATGGAAAAGTAACAGTCTAACAATATTTTACATCTTTAAGTTGCTAACCTAGTAACACAAACAGGACTTCTGTATAACTGTGACTAAAAAAAGGAAAACAAATGACTGATTGCCATCACATGCCACTTAAACGTTGATTAATACAATAAGTTATTTACTGGTTTCTCAGTACACACGTTTCTACAGTAGCAGCCAGTATTGTAAAATGTAACCATATTAATCATTTCAGTGTGTTCTTTCCAAATTTCCATCTGTAGCTGGAACTTCTCATTTCCATGCTTGTTTTTTATACTTATAAAGTTTATTATTTTTATGTTTTTAAATTTATATTAAATAATTTATACTTCAGTGACTCACCCAGTGTCAGTTAAAATTAACATAACTTTGACGAACAAGAAGCACGTTGTCCTTAGCCCATCATGATCATGGTTTTCCCAATTCATTAAATGCTTTACATTTTCCATAGGTAAACACATGTTATTTGATACTTTCTGGCTTGTTTTGCAATAAATACTTATTACTAAAGAATAATTTTGAATAAGTTAATAAAGGACTAACTTAATAAGACTTTGAATACTTGTAATTTTGTGTACTATAGTATAACAGTAACACTACAGAACAGGTTAGGGTTAAGTTAATGTTACACTTAAATCTCGACTTTCCCAAAATGAACCAATTATATGCGCTTAGTTTAAGTTTCATTATATACATAACTCTTCATTATGCAAAAATTGTCAGACCTTAGTCGCACTGAGTAATCCAAACTATGAAGTAATTTGTAAAAATTACTAAAACTTACAATTACTAAGCCCAGTCTGCAAGTTCAGCAAGCCTTAAAGTGAAATGGGAATGACGTCATATAATTCAAATATATGTGGATCCCTTCTTACTCATTGTTTTCTTATACATATTCATCCTGAAGTGAAACCGCCTTAATTTACAATTGATATATATATGTATACGTATATATATATATCTGTATGTCTGCAAATATACAGAATGTGATGGTGAAACTTCATACGAAATTGCTGATGGTTTCTTTTATCTACAAATTAAGTTATGAGTAATATCTTGTTACTTTGACATATCGTAGTTTTAAGAGCTAATAATTCCAATAAAAACCCTCACAAATGTTAGTGATATTGCTCCTCATAAAACAATAGTTTAGTTAAACATTACCTTTAGAAATTCATGATTCAATTGGGTGGAGTAGTGTTTTTAACCTGGTTTTATAACTTGTATATAAATACATGCTCTATGCTGCGGGGTTCAAAGGCCCCTTATGATTAACAGAGGCACCAGTGTATTGTCCAAACTCCTAAATTATCCCCCAATTACTTCCATTTAGCCGAAACCAAACCCCTCTAGGACACCTACCCATAGTATCTGAGCACGTGTGCCTCGTTTGTCTATCAAGCTTGTCAATGAGGGTACGGCCACAGTTTCAAGCATAGCGCCCCCGGAATCCTGAGAGGGGGGGTCTAAAACAGAAAGTCCGATGTCATGTGTGTGTACAGCGTCTCTGAAAACATACCATTTCGTTCCCATCATGTCCAGATGACCTTCAGAGTGCATTTTAGCACCTCTTTGATATGGGACTACGCAATATAGATAATAATAACACGAGCCATCCCCAGTCCTCTTGCCAAGTTTGGTTCTGCTTTTTCCAAAATGGGAGAAATTGGGGGACAAACAAATGAAGTCACAAATTCACAAAAGATCACACGAGCTTACATTTTAATGTTACAATCGTTTACTAATGTTACAAAACTGCATAATAATTTTATAATTGCAACATTACTTCTAGCCATTCCTGGTGTTAAAATATTTAATTACAGTAACTTTAGCATTTTTGGTATTATTTTGTTTCGTACGTAGATATTGTAACTAAATTTATCTGTAATTTAGTATACGAATGCGTGTTTTTATTATTATTTAAGTTCCAATACAAGATTCGTTACTTAGTTACAAGTTTCAAACAAATAGGACGTACACAACATTGAATTACTCTAAAACTAACATTCCCTAATCGTTAACCTTATCACCTAGTATACTTGTTGGGTAATTCATAGGGCAGCTCTTAATGATATGTCTGGCGTGCTGGTCATGTGCGAAAATAGAGAAGTTCAAAACAATGGCTTCCACTATTCTATCAACAGACCTTGCCTTGTGACGTCGATGGCCTATTATTGTATAGTTGTAACATGTATAGTAACTTGGGGGATAGGGGACTTTTCTTACATAAAATTACCAAGCTGTTTGCAAGTTTACAAGCAACTTGATCACTGTCTAAAGGATACATGGTAAAACAGGGGATCCAAGCAAAATGGAAGTCAATTAGCGTTTCGAAAAAAGGTGTTAAAATTTTCTTACAAAATAATGAAGCCGTTTTGGCAAAGTAAGTTTGTTTGTAATTAAGCACAAAGCTACACAATGGGCTATCTGTGCTCTGCCCACCACGGGTATCGAAACCCGGATACTAGCGTTGTAAGTCCGCAGACATACCGCTGTGCCACTGGGGGGCAGGCAAAGTAAGTACTGTTACGTCTCCGTTCGTTAGTTGATTTTCCGTAACTTCGTTCCGACGAAACTTTAGCGACACAAGTCCTTTCTTAATAAAACTGGTTTATTCTTTCCGAATACAACTTTACAATACACTTAATTTCAACAGTCGCGCTATAACAAACGCCATAACAACGAACGTCTCAAGTGCTCAACTTCAACAATACTCTCTGACTGCAGTTCAATTACTCCTTACACTGTTACGTTGTGACCATCTTATATATACCAGACTACCCCCAATCTTATAGTCTCCCGATAATTCACGAAGGTTCGAG